AGCACTTGCAGCGCCTGGTGGAATCGTTCTGTAGGAATGGACGTGAAGAAGCCTGACAGGTCATGCGACACCAGGTGGATGTACTCATCGGGATCTGCTTTTGACAGCGCTTCCCACAGCTGCTGGACAAGTTCTTGGACTGAAAGTTGACCTGCAATGTCGGGAAAGGCAGCTTTGGTAAGTTCAAATATGAGTGCGCCGAAGACCGTGAGGAAGGGAGCTGCCCATGTGCGAGAGAATGAAATGATGGGTCGTGCTTTCTGCCAGTCCTTGGTCGGCTTTGGAAGGATACGTGCTGTGGGCAGCGGTGCTTGAAGTCGAAGTCCCCATGCATATCGTTGACGTAGGAGAGAAGGTACCGTGGTTACCACTTCAGAGCGAAAAGATGCTGCGGATTCACGGCAAAGCGAGAAGACATCTCCCGAGCAAAATGTCTTCCGCATCAGTATGGCAAACAGGGACGGACAAATCACATGTGCGCGGGAGGGAAAATGATCCGCCGGGATAACAACCCACGAAGACAGAGAAGCCACAGTGCGCTGCAACGATGTCGATGACCAATAAGCACGATCTTGGAGGTTAGTTCGATGAGTGTCCATTAACTGAGTCAAAACCGGCTGCAGATCTGAAAGAAGACTGGAACCATGCACATGCCAGCGACGAGCAAGTTTGCGAAGTTGCGTGGTGAAACGTTGATGTAATAAGTCGACATCACCGAAATACTGATCCTTCATTGAGGCGGCCATGATTTCCATGTCAATGTCCGCATTGATGCGAGAAAACTCATCCACCATTACAGCATGACCATGTGCTCGGTGTATATGGTGATCATCGATGTCCAAACAGCGACACGGAAAGGATGTTTCAGGAGTCCATCTGCGCTGCCATGTGCGGTAGTTGTAGATCTTGTCGCCCAACGTGGCACTGCGAGTTTCCACCACCCGGATCTTTGGAAGGAAAAGAGAAGGGAACAGATCCCGATGAGAAGCAATCCAGCTTTGTAGCCATGTGCCAAGTAGAGCTTTCCAATTCCGGACATGCAGCGGCGGTAGGAGTAGCTGTGTCAAAGTGGTGGGTGGTTGTAGCCGTCGTTTGCGCAACACCTGGGCGAGGAGTTTCTGCGCCTTGGAGCGGAAGGGCTCGTTGACAAAGACGGCGAGCCGCAGTAAGTAGTACAGCTGAGTAGGAGGGAAAGCTGCCGACAGTAGGTCACGCATGGCTTGGAACGATGCTCCTGTATTGGATCCCAGCTGATAGAGAATAGAGTAATGGGCCTGAATGTCATCCAGCATGTCGGGTCGTAGTTGCCGTTGGAGATCCGGATGTAGTCGTCGTCGAAAGCGCTTGTGCAAGCTGAGGGAAGTGGGAGACGACAACGAGTGACGTCGAAAATCCACGAGATGTTCCCGGAAGCCCACCTTTCGCAAGATTCTGTGTACCCAGGGCGCATTCAAATGCGGGCGTAGCAAGTATTGCCATTTACTTTCTTGAACCCAAACCGAGGAAACAGGAAGTTTGATCTCCACCGGAACAGCACAGAAGAGCCAGTAAGTATTGGATCTCTTCCAGTAATGAAGCGCGGGTTCGAAGAAGGCATGCCGTCCACGAAGTAGTTGTAGAAATTTGCGACTGCGTGAGTGTTCACGACGTAGAACATCCTGATTAGTCGCCCCAACATAGTAGGGTGTGTGCCATGGGGAAAGTCGAATGTAGACGCACGGTTGTTGATGATGACCTGGATCGTGTGTGAAGTCATAGAGGTCAGGAAATCGTGCCCGCAATGAGCGAAGATGTCGCGTGTCGGCAAAAGTGGAGTGCATGATTTCACACAAGAGAGAAGTCTTGTAGAAGTGAAGGACTTCAAAGAACGGCGGAAAGTAGCCATGATCTTGTGAAATGAGACGTTGTAAGAAACTGATCAATAAATAGGCAGTGCACCGACATCTGTGAAGCTCATACCTGTTGGCCACGGTGTGCTGAGAGTGTGACATAGCGTGGTTCGGAATCTGAAGGGCTATCCGGACCACAACTAAGACTTCGAGAATGAGGCCCAACCACGGTAATTGTGTGATTGATTCGTACTCATCAGTTGGTATCGACGGTGGTGGTAGTCCAGGAAAACAGTATTGCCAGCACGTAGAGAACATGGTCAACGAGTGTAAAAGGTCGTCCAGCGACTGCCATTGTGCAACATCATCATAGATTCCACAGCGGCGAAGCTCATCCAACATGGTGAAATACAACCAATGAAATCTACCACAAGGCGGCGACATGAATACAAGCTGCACAGACAATCACGCACAAGGCAATGCAAGAACGAGCAAGTACAAGATCAAACTAGTGCAACGCAGAAAATTGACGGACGAGTTTTCACCTTGACTCATCCGTGACATGGTTGCCGCTCCGGGCTCATAAGAGAACGAAGGTCATTATGATGCCTTCTGAGTAGGCGAGCGGTCACGATGAGGTGACTCAATGCCTTCTCAGTGAGCTTGGGGCTCCAGTCCCCACGAAGCCGCCATCGCCCCGAGAGTGGGTGCGTCGCCTTTCGGCATGCGTTGACGCGCCTGAAGGAGCTGCGTCGCCATGGAATCTAATGACTTGTTGCCGTTGAGCCGGGACGGGTGATTGGCCCACTTAACCAGCGACGCCAAAGTGGTGGTTGTGGGCGATTGCTTGAGATAAAGGCGAGGCTGGTCACTGGTCCATGTGTAGTACTTGACAACTTCATCCGGCGTGCTGTGCATGGTGAGCAATTGTGACGCCGCCGGCTTGGACGGCGGTGACGACACTCCGTGAAGAGACTGAATGATCCGAGGTTGCACCGCGCTATCAAACGACTTGCCATCAAGGGCCGCTGCGCTGGCTGTAGGAAGGGAGCTGGCAGGTGACGAGGATGGTGTGTGGTTGACCGGTGGCGGTGTAACCAACTCTGCATCATCTTTCTGGCTTGCCATCGTGGGAGAGGTCGAAGCGCGCAGCGATGCGGAATACTGAGCTTGGAGCAGTTCGTGCGCACGATTTAGATCATTGTACTTCTTGACCATGTCATCTGTCTGGGTGGAAGGTGTGAGAGAGGTGTGATGTTGCTGAAGAAATTGAAGTACCAAGCTGGCCAAATGGTCATGAACCTTGATCCGCTGATTGAAGTCATCGATGTTGAGACCCAGCGAGTTGGCAAGGTCCTTTTCCAGGGTGAGCAGGTTGAGTGACTGTGATCGTCGTAGTAGTTTGGAACAGGTACTCCAAAGTAAGGCCTCGGTGCGAGTGCGAAAGCCTTCCCACGTCACGAATCTGCCGTGAGCGAACGGTCGGAGCAGCCAGTTGGTGAGGCCCCCGTGGATAACCTGAACCAGGCGAACGTCCCGAATATCCATGCCTGACATGTCGCGAAGGTTGCCATGCGGAGTGTTGGCAACGGTCATGGGCAGGCTAAAGTTGTAGAGCTGATTGACATCAAACATGCCATCTCCAGGTGTCCAGTCAGGCGAAGGTGTAAGCCAGGCTTTCTGAGGGCGAACCGGTAGAGCCGCAGGAGGTCCAGGTGGCGGTGTAGGTTGGGGAGTAGTGACCGGTGGTGGCATCACGGGTGGCATGAACTTGGTTGGCGTGGGGTCTGGAGGGATCGGCATCATGTAGTTGATCGCTGGGTGTTGGAATTGCTGTGTGGGGCTGTGAGTCGATTGAAAGTTGGTGGGCATCATCGGAAAGTTGTTGGCAGAGTTGTAGCCGGAATTGTGTTGCCATGATACCAGGTTGTTCCAATCCATGTTCTCCGAGACCTGGCTGTCATTGTGTTCACGTCGGCGTGCTTTGCGAGCTTGAGGGGAAGGACTCCGATCACGTCTGCGCCGAGTCCTAGATCTATCTCGATCATCACGTCGAGACATGATGGCACAACAAATGCAAAACCGCAACTCCACAATCTTGAGAGGAACGAGTCCGATAAAATGCAAGTCCATGCAAGTTCAAGCCAGCAGCCAGCAGCAGACCTAGTGAGACGTCTCTATGATCTGACGGCTGTCTTCCCTTTAGTGAAACCTCGTTCCTGGTTAAATGTGAAATTCCGCTGTTCTATGATAAGAACGTTGAGGTCAAATTTTCCGACAGAGCCGGCCCGGGGTCACACAATGGGTACACCCGAGGATTCCCCACGAATGGGGTGTACACACTTGAACTCCAGATGGAGAGTGCTAATCTTTCGAGTACAACTGATGAGTTTCGAGTACAACTGATGAGTCTCGAGTATGGTGAGCTTCGACTCGCACATCACTCAGCTTCACTCTAGTTACTTGAACAGGGGCACACAAAAGCAACGGCGGTTCAGGGGGGGGACCAAAAGGACATTCACAAACATCACAATTGCAGGTACGTCCAGCTGATCAGGCTGGATATCACGAGTTAACAGCGAGCGTCTTCGTTGGCGCAGGACTCGCTGAAACTCCCTGCGCCCCCTGCTGCAGCGGAAAAAGGTTTTGGTGGCAGGGTATTCTGCCACTCCGCACACACACACACACACACACACACACACACACACGCACACACGCACACGCACACACGCACACACACGCACACACGCACACACGCACACACGCACACACGCACACACGCACACACGCACACACGCACACACACACACGCACACACGCACACACACACACACACACACACACACACACACACACACACACACACACACACACACACACACACACACACACACACACACACACACACACACACACACACACACACACACACACACACACACACACACACACACACACACACACACACACACACACACACACACACACACACACACACACACACACACACACACACACACACACACACACACACACACACACACACACACACACACACACACACACACACACACACACACACACACACTGTGTGTCACACACAGGCACACGGACACATGAACATACATCGTGTATAAATATAAGACTGAGTCGACTTGGTGGCAAACCGGCCTGCAAATGAAGCACAGCACCAGGTAAGTGGTCCTGGTGCTGAGCACAGGCAACGTCACATCATTCGCGTTGCCAGATTTTCAACCATTTGGGTTCATCAAGCTATGGGGACACCAACATGCGTGGATTTTCTCTTTGGATTCTCTTTAAAACATCCCCGGAAGGAGTTACCCTTGAAACAAAAGCCACAACCCCAGCTACCCGCAGCTTTCTTTCTGAATTCAAACAGTGCTCTTCGCGCCTCCGCAGGCTCGATTGCAAGCACGCCGTCCAGACCTTTGCGCATCCCGAAATCTTTCAGGCAGTCCGAAATCTTTCAGGAAGTCCGAGCGTCAGAAATTCCTCGTTTCCTTTGCTCACCCTTGGGCTCTGATTGCATTTTTGGGGGGCCCGAACTGACGGACACCAAAATCTGCTGGGGATTCATGTCCACCAACCACGTCTGAGGTGGTACCCTATTTGTCTCATCTCTTCTTCTTCCCCGAATCAAAGTCAGCCCTTCGCTGGGTCAGGGGCCATCTGGCACGACATCGTTGGCGTCCAGCGCGGCCTCACGCGGAATGCGGGCTGCGCCGGGCGGAAGTCTTATCAGCATGGGGACGCCCCCCGCATTGGTTGGCATGTCCTTGCTTCATTGGCTCGTTGCCTCCCAAATCTGAATCTGAATCTGCATGAAACGCATCCCAAAAGCATCACCATTTGCTGGTGCTCAGGGAATGAGAATTGGAAGGAGCCTTATAAAGGATCTCATTTCCTTGCTGGTGCTCAGGGAATGAGAATTGGAAGGAGCCTTATAAGGATCTCATTTCCTTGCTGGTGCTCAGGGAATGAGAATTGGAAGGAGCCTTAACTTATAAGGGATCCCACATGGTTTCTTGTTCAAGGGAATCCCGAAACGGTTCATTCCCTTTCTCATTCCCTGCTGAGCACCAGCAAGTTTCATCCCTTCCTAAACCGGGCCGGGGACCTTTAGGAAGTGACCAATATAGCTCAAAGGAAACCAACCACTTGGCACTCCTTTGGGAAGGATCTGAGAGCTTGATAGCTGGGTGCAAAAAACTTGTTGGCCATGGTTGCCAACTAGCAGCTTCTTTTCTGGAATCCCTCAGGGGGTAGGTGCCAGGTGCGTAGTGGAGAGCCCCCTTTCGGGTTCCAGAGGTTTTTATAGGAGTCCTTAGGCTTCTCCCTAGGCAATTCTTAGGGAACCCCCACTCTTGGTGGCAACCACCCGCTCTGGAAGAACCCCATGGCTCAGAGCCCGTCCGTGCCCAGCAGACTGTCTTTCTTGGGCCACACCTCCTGGCCAAAACATACAACCAACATATGGCTTGCGTCAAAACCCTGTACCCCAGTGAACATCCCAATCCAACCACTAAAATAGACCAAAATAGGCGGTGCACCTACCCCAAAATGCTATGATTGGTGTTGACCGGTAATATGTGTCGTGGTTGCGTCGTTTTTGGAGAAAACGGAACCGTTTCACCTCGGTTTCAAGGGACACCGGGAAACCGAAAGGACAACACAAACAACTTGTTGGGCCCGTGCCCCTATTTTGACACATACCCGTGTCTAAGCTCGACGACACGTGGCATCCTTGTTGAAGATGCTGAAAACAATTGGCTCAACTGCAGCGTAGTCGAAGTCGAAGGACTTGTTCCAAACCTTCCGGAATCCACTGCTCGTTCCGGCAGTTGCTCTTGAGCCATTGAGCAACCAGACGAGGCATCGGCCCGAAATCAAATATGTTGAGGCCACTCTTTGCAGGTCATTTCCACACAAATGCTGAGCTCCCAACGGGATCCCTGGACTCGTTCACCACAGCTGAGCGGGTCTGGAAGCGCTGATTGCCCTGCACTTCGCAAACGCAGTACGGAGAGCACCTGCGGCGTTTGCACGTTGCGAGCGAAACCGAGTTGTGGCAACTCGCCTCCCACCAGATGGACTTGGCAAGCCGTTGGCGCCCTTGAGCGTTACTGACAGCCGCCGAACCTCAGATCTGCAATGAATTGCATTGCGCGTGACTCTCGCAAAAAGAAGCCGTGCCTTTGACAAAGAGTTGCAACGGATGGCTTTTCTGCTCGGAAAATATATAAATAAAAGTCGGCGGCCGTGCCAGTTGAGCAGCTTTCAGGGTGCCCGTAGAGGGTCTAACAGTTGGGCCACCGGATTTGCCCAAATCAAAGTTGATCAATTGACTGGTGGTTTCCCTTGAAATGATCGATCCACTTTTGGAGATTCCCGGAAAAAAACTGAGCTGTTCAAAATGGAGCCCAACCCAAGGTCAGGATTTTAAGGATCACTTTTGACTCACTGACCATGCTTGTTTTTGGACCTTCTCCTTCTTTCCCCCTCCCCCCAAGAAATCGCTGCGTCGAACAGACACTGTGCGCTATCGCAAAGGCAAAGCCCAGTAGGGAAATGGCAAGCGTAAACCCCGCGAATTCTATGAAAATGAGAGCCAGCGTTGGCTTGAGGATTCCTCCCACAGGGCCAATGCACAAAACAAACGGGCTCACGGTTTTCCCACCCTGTTCACATGGACCGGTCGACGTTTGGGGGGGGTCCTGGTTTGGACCCTTTTCCTTTTGAAGGGACCTGTCAGGTTCATGTGAATTGGAGGGTGTTTCCGCTATCACTGAGGACTCACTCCAGATTGGCAACCAAATGCTGCTCTTTGCTTTTTTGTTTCTTTGATGCGCGCCGCTGGTCAGGCTGTAAGGTGCGCTCAATCAAGATCAAAGTCCCGCTGTGGAGAGCTTCAACGCAAGCAAACTCAGCAAAGTCCTGCAGCTTATCAGGCTTCGAGACCCCGATCTTCGCACCTTTCACCCCAGAAAGCTCCCCCCATGTCTGCCAGCCAGTCGCCCGCATATCTACCTGCCACGTCTGCCAGCCGGTCGCCCCCATATCTGCCGGTCGGACGCCCCCATGTCTGCCAGCCGGTCTCCCCAATGTCTGCCAGCCAGTCGCCCCAATGTCTGCCAGCCGGTCGCCTTCGCCGATCCAGAATTCTGTGATCCCTTGGAACTCTGAGTGGAAAGGCTGCTTTGGAGACACCATACCGATGTCTGCCGTGATGAAGGCCCGATCAAAGCAAAGATCGTCATCCAATGTCGGGGAAGCTATGTTGAGCCATGGCAGGCTAAAAAAGGTCAGCCATGGCCAACCGGCGAGAAGTACTTCATGGGTGACTTGGCTGTAAAGGAAAGCACCCTCTCTCCAACCAGCACATTCAAACCCAACTGCAGCATGAAGTTTCCAAAGCCAGCGCCATGCCTTGGGCTCTGCTCGACAAAGACCCTCTCGGCCTCAAAGGAGGTGCAGGCCTGCTCTTCATAGTTTGGCATGATCTCTTCCACCCCTTCCGCATGCTGAGCGTCCTCTTTTTTTGATTCTCCTCCTTCATGGGCCATATCCGGGGCCATCTGGAAGAGTGACCGAGTGGCTGCCCTTCTCACCCGAGCTGCCTCTGACTCTTTCGGCCAAAAACCACTTCACATGTCGGACCCGACCCAGCCTCATCCTCCTGGATCGCCTCGACGCGCACCTGGGCCTCACCCTGCGCTGAGACCCAGGCCCGGCCTCCGTTTGGATCAACACCCTCCGTTGCCATCTCCAACTGCGCGCTTGGGAGGTTCCTCCACGTCATGAAGGCTCCGGGACGCTTCATGCCTTTTTTTGTTTTTTGTTTTTTCCTGCGAACAGCTTGAGCCAGGCTGGAAAACCCGAAGAAAAAAAAGAAGAAGAAAAACGAGAAAGAAAACAACAGGAGAAACAAAACATATCATTGCACTGCCTACGGGTCACCAAAACGAAAAAACACTCAGCGCCGGGCGGTCCCTGGCTCGGGAGCTCGGGCTTTCACGGCGGGCTTGGCGTTGGAGCCGCTGGAGCCGCCCCTCGGCCGAGTTTGGACGGCAAAGTCGGAAATGCGATTTGATAGGAAAACTAGGGTTCGACCCCCATTAAAAGAATGGTTGACCCAATTTGGATGTTGACAATCCTTAGGCAAACAGTAGTGGTTATATGAATCCCATTGTTTTAATGGTGGTTTGAACCCCAAGTTATGATCAGTCCCCTATGGCCATCTACACCTGTTGTTTGAAGGGTATCTGAGAATCGACGAAGCAAGAGACTTCCGTGCAAGTCCTTGCTCCGCACTTGAGAAAGAAGATCCGGGTGCCAAAGCCCATCAAGGAGATCGGGTTGAATCACCCATGGGTACCATTTGTCTACGGGTCCCTCCAGAAGGCATACGGATCCCTTCAAAAATCCTCGCTGCTTTTCGTCGCTGTCAACAAATAGGAAGGCGCGCATCTTGTGTGTGTTTCCGCTTGTTCCCAATCAGTTCCCAAGAAGGATACCCTCAAAGAAAAATGCACCGAATTTAGATGCCCCGCAGGACTCGCAGGAAGAACCAGCACCTATACCCCTTACACCCAATACCCACTTTTTTTAGGGTATGATGTCGACCCTCTACTAAAAAAGGAGGTATTTACCATGGAAAAAAAACAAACTAGAAAAAGTGGGTATTTGGAGTGGGAGGTAGATGTTCCTTCACTCTTCGAGGATTTCGCTGGGCGATGTCCGAACCAATGTCGGAGTTCCGTTGTGTCCACTTGCAACTGATGTACTTTCATGTCGGCTGACAATGTTGATTGGAATCTTGGTGAGCATTCCAAACATTCTCTCATGGTATTTTGGGGCTCGTGTGACCCATATCATCTACTTTACCGTAGTAAACATGATCTCCAGCCCCTGTCCTCTGCTCGGCTTTGGAGCTCTGCGGTCTGAAGCCTGGGCTTTCCAACCTCACGGCAAGTCAGCGATCCATCGGAAGCGTCAAAGGGGCGGCCTTGAAGAGTGCTGCATTTGTCTCTCTCAACACGACTTTCTCAACCTATTCCTTCTGTGGTCGGGTGCGACAAATTCACGAGCTTGAGTCGCAATTGGAATGTGGCCAGGCAGCAATGGGACCGCAAATCAAGTTGCCTCATTTTGTCCCTTGCAGAATACATGCCAGAAAGCCTTGCGCCTCTGCGGAAACGTCAATTACCCAGCTACCGTCAGCCAACTGAGAGGGCCACTGTTTGACCAGTTCGACATCATCCAAAGATGTCTCGTGCTGTGGCTGCTGTGGCTGCTGAAGATGCAACTGCTGCATCTGTTGCTGAATCTGCTGCTGCAATTGCGCTGGAGAGAAATCCTGCGGCAACATCTTGCTGACTTGGCCATACGAAAATGGGTGGTACACCTACCCCAAAATGGGATACCATTGGTTTTGACAACCACAGTCATTTATGATCATTGCGTGTGCACACCTCCTCGTCCTCGTCCACTATGATTCTCAGCCGCAGGAACGCCTGGCACTGGCACTGAGCTGCGTCTTAAGCGCAGCTTTGAAACTGCGCCAGAGATTCAACGGCGAGTCCCACAAATCAATACGCGACGGCTAAACTGCTTTGCCATCAGGCACCCCATCAAGCATCACATCGCTCTCGAAGCCGTTCCTTAGCGGAATGGGCCCTGTTTGGCTGCAACAACCGCCCAACCTGGGTGTGATTGATCAATGAAAGCCATGTTACGTTGGAATGGTCACATTCAAGGGATACATTCGAGAAGTGATAATGTTCACTATCGTTGTGGTAATGCTGCTAGTTTGCCACCCCAAACGCGAAGTATCACGAGTGCACTCTAGTCCACTGCAGAAAAATGCTTGACGTCCACTTGATACGCCAAGCCAAGCCGTCTGTCCCATCAGGAAAAGTGGATTAAACGTCGCAGTTGCCACCCCGCGGCGCCTGTAGTAAGAAATGGAACCTGTCGCACATTAGCGCTCAATACCCACTGACGTCGTGCCATCAAATCAGGGAACACGAACCTCCTGTGGAAGTGGCCAAGGGGTGAACTGGGTTCTCAACTGAGCGCCCGGTTCACCCATTCACTCTTGATTCGGCCAACATGGCCAAACGCCAAAATTTACGAAGAATTGATATGGGCCTTAGTTCGTTCATCCCTTCTTTAACCGGGTGGTACCTAACACGCGGCCTCCTCGGAGGGGGGGGGGGTTGGGCGCTAACGTGGGCTCCGCTGAGGCGGAATCGGAAAGAACTCCTCGCTGGCGAGGCAGATCTCCCCCAGGAAATCGTCGCCGATGTCGTGGCCTTTGAAGCAGTTTGCCCCCGCGGCGCTTTTTTTGTTTGTCGGGTAGGCCCTGTTTTGGGGCGCTGGTGCAGGTGCTGTTGAAGGTGCTATGAAGATGTGCAATCATTGAACTTGATGTTACTAGTGGTGAAGCCCTTTTTGCTCGTAGCGCAGAGAGTAGTTGTGATTGTGTCTCTAAAAGCATTCAATGGCCAATCCTGCGGCAAGACTACCTTGCTGATTCGCATGGACGGAAGACAAGCGTGCAAGTCACGAAATTGGCTACTTGTTCCTCGTTGCGCGCGCTATTCTCACATAGATATAACTTCTGCAAGTGTGCTTGGCGCAGTTTCTTTACTGCGTCGTTTTTCGAGCCCCAGTGTTTTGTCCCCAACGGGCCACTTACCATTGGGGGACCTCAGTGCCCAGCGCTCGGAGCCATAGGTGTCATCTTTGTCCAGCACTTGGAACACCAGGTCGGCTCCAGGCTCGTAATGGATCTCATACTCCTCAGGAATTTAGGTGTATCTTGTTTGCCATTTCCCAAAATGGGACATCAGAATTCGGGTGGGTCCTGATGAATTTGTCCAAGCACTGTGGTTTCAAACGTCGAAATTCTGGAAGCCTCGAACGGGGACACGATCCACGCCACCCGAAGTCAGCAAGCTCCTCATCCCAGTTGGGGTCCAGTGTCTGGTAGCAGACCTCACAAATGAAAATGTTGATTCCGCCACGCGCTCCGATGTGGCCATGGTTCAAAAGCCCGTACCCCCAGTGAACATCCCAATCCCAACTAAAACAGACCAAAATGGGTGGTACACCTACCCGAAAATGGGATACCATTGGTTTTGACAACCACAGCCATATATCCAAAACCCACCTCAAGGATTTAGATCTTAGGGGTCTCAAAGACAGAGGAACCGACTCAAAATACGCGTTGCTTCCCGGAAAAAAACCAGCCCGAAGGGCCCCAAAACAAAGACACGCTCACAGCAGTTCTCTGGGTGCTTGTTTCACTGGCCTTTTCAGCATGAGTCACTGTCAACATTTGGCTGTGGGTAAAAAATACGTACTTAAAATGGAACCCTGGAAAACGGAACCAAAGACTAAAGCATGCGGTCCCCTGGTGGTTTAATTTTGTCCCATACCCATTTATTGTGTGCCCCAATGATAATGGATTTTGGCGAGTGACTGCCTCATGACATGATGTTGCGGCTCCCCAGCTCTCTCATGACAAGTGCAGTAAACGACACACACTGCCGCAGCTCCCCACTGGAAAGTTGCAACTGTAATAGCTCCAGCTTGAAACCGCAAGTTTTCAGCACATGTGTAGTAAACGAAGTACACTTCTGCAGCTTCAGCTGCAGATTGGCAAGTCCAGTTCTACAAAACGCTATCGCTGTGTGTTCCTCCTTTTCGTTTTACAGGGTTTTAGGACACCTCAACACAAAAACTCCCACCCTGACTAAACTGCCATTGCGGGGGACGTAGGGAACCTCAATATTTACGCTCCCTGTGGTTCCCCTTGTTTTTCCAACCCCAAAAACGGCAGACAACATCTCTCGCTGGCCAGGAACCTGCGTCTGGAACGCCGGCGTTGCACTTGGGGACACCAAGCACACCACGTAGGGATCGCACCTAAGTTCAAGAGCCGGCTCACATCCAACCAATCCAAACAGATACCTGACAAGTGGACCCAGGCGCGATGCGCCAAAGAAGACCCACACCCATACGGCTGCGTGACGTGCGGGAAACCCACGTTGGGGCCGCAGTTCACAGCCAGGGCTGGATGAAAGGAACTGGCCCCTCGGCTGCGGCACTTTGGCAAAGGCGCCCATCCCTAGGCCCCGCGCAGTCTGTCGTCCACTCGCGGCAGGTGTGAAGCGCTGCGGATCAGCACCTGCGAGGCTCCGAATTGGAGCCTCGTGACGCGGTGAGGCGGCTTAAAGCTCCGCTGAAGATGGGATGACCAGGGAAACCACCAGAACATCACCAAATTACCAAATGATCACCAAATCATCACCAGAAATCCTAAGTCAACATCTCGCTGACTTGGCCATGGGTCAAAATCCAAATCGTAGGGGTGGTGCACCCATGGGAAAGGTTTTCCACGGTCACCCCGAGGTGTTGCCACGTCGCAAAGAAAAAGAACCGGCGGCGCGTGTTCGTGCCCGGTATCTATCCGCGATTTTCAATGTTGCGCGCGCGCGACCTATTCTTCGTTGCTTTCACCACCCCTCAGCTCGATGTTGCGATTCGAACTGGTTGTTCTGCAGCAAAGCTCCTCGATGCCTTCTCACCTCCTCACTGTCAGCCAATCCTCCCAGCGGGGCTTTGCACATGGCAGCCACTGCAGAGCTGGGAGTTAGGTCGACCTTTCGCGAGCCTCAAACAGCACCCACAGATAGAAGATATTCTGCTGCATCGCAGAACGTCTTCTCCATAGGCGTGTACTCTATCTTCAGCACCTCCCTGGACTTGGTATTGTCGATCAAATCTCCATCCATGGAATCCTCCCCCTCCGCCAGCTTGGTGGGAACTTTGGCGCCCTTCTCATTGTACTTGGCCAGCCAACCGTAGACATCTCGCAACAAAACTCGCTGGTTGTACAAGATGAAGCGCTGGTTGGCCGCCTCTGGCAGCAGAATCGCCTTGAGATGCGCGGCGGCGCAATCCCGGACGTCCACGAAGCTCGAGCTATTCCGGGGGATCTCCGCCTTCTTCCCCTTCAGAATGTCCAGCATGTAGCTCACCGAGGTACCTCGGCGACTTTTGCCCCCGCCTCACCCAAAAACAACAAGATCAACTGTTTGCAGGGTAGCGATGGTAGAGGGAAAACAACAAACATCCCCAACAAGATCAAGGCAGCTAAAGGCAAAGTGAGATCCAAATCGCATACAAGGTACCTTCTCCGTCACAGGGCGCTGGGCCCATAATGAAGCAAGGCAGGATTGTGACCAGGTCAAAGCCTGGGTTGGCCTTCTGATAATCCCACGCAGCCCTCTCTGCCCAAGTCTTGCTCTTCATGTAGTCGTGCAAGCCCTCAGGTCGCTCGGGGTTGGACCAGCAGGTCTCGTTGTACGCTGCAGGTGGCACTGGCTTGTCCTCAGGGCTCAAGCACCTTACAGGTGGCATGCCGAGACATGGGGGTTCCAATGGGTGAGGCCGAATCCCCTTGCAACATGAACCACTTCACTTCACCTCTTCTCCAATATATTGCTTGGCTTCCCAGCTCCTCTGCAGCTGGCGCCTGCATTGCAGCACAGGAGGAGGTGACCACACACCGCTTCACCTTGTGCACGCTGCAGGCCTTCATCACCGCAGTGGTGCCTTTGACGGCCGGCTTCACACAGCCCCCCTTGAAGTGGAACGGCGAGGCGGTGTGCACCACAAAAGTGGCGCCCACGCACGCCTTGATCAGCGAGTCTTCGTCGCTGAGATCCGCTTCCACCAGCTCCAGCCCAGCAAAGAGCTCGCCGAGGCCGAGCTTCAGCGGCTGCAGCTTCTTCTCGTTGCTGGTGCTTCGCACCGTGCCGCGCACGGAGAAGGAGCCGTCCTGCAGGAAAGCCAGGCAGGTCGCCGAGCCCAAGTAGCCCGTGACTCCGGTGATGACCACCACAGGCTTCTCCATGGCCGCAGAAAACGAACAAAAAGGCGGCGGATCTCGCGAACCAAGGCAGACACGTGTTGTATAAATGAAAGGAACCTGGACCCTCAACCTACCCTTACAAGGTTGGAATGAACCCACCATAATTTTGGGTGTGCAAGCAATGATCCCTTTTTGAGTCTTGAGGCATTTCGGTTACATGGCAAATATACAACATCCATCATCTTGCCACAATTCCCATTCTTAAGGCTGGGAACTTGTTTCCAGCGCCCACTTTGCCAGAACCCATTTTTGACCTAGTTGCATGGCCCATTTTTGACCCATTTCTGGGCTGGATGGGTGCCGGAATCCGGAAGTGGGTCTTGGAACCGAACCTTCCAGCGGAACTTCAAATCGGCTGCGCCTGGCACTGGAAGCTCCGAAGGCCCCAAAGTCGGCACCCGCGGATTTTTGGTTTTGCACAGGGTCACCAGCAAAACCGAGGGATGTCAACTCTTCTGCATCCACGTTAAAAAAAAGGGAGCCGCGGATCTTTTTCTGCATCCATCTAACTCGGGAAAAATCGGAAAAGGAGATCCTGCGCCATGATTTTCCGGGGTGGGGACCGCCCCTTCACCTTCACCCGGGCGCCTTGAGCTTTCTGAGGTGCCGCAAGCGAGCCGGGGACGGCATGGCGACGCGCACTGCCACCAGCGAGAAGAGCCAACCACAAACGAAACCGGGGTCCATGTGTATTT